ATGGTTGAGCTTCCCTGCCCTGCTCCACAGAATTCAGTTGTTGAATAACTTCCTTATAAAAATTTGATATACCTGAATTTGGATGTGAAGATTGAGGGGAAGGCTGTGGTGGTGCATATGAATCCTCATATGGTTGCCAATATGTTTCTTGGTGAGTCTCCTTAGCTTGATTTTGTGAACCCTGCACCAAAGAGTTTAATTCATCAAGAATTTGATTATAATCTATTGATGAACCTGAGTTTGATTGAGCATATTGCATATAAGGTTGTGGCGGCTGCATAGATCTTGAACAGAACTCCTCATATGGCTGCCAATATGCTTCATGTTGAACTTGTTGAGCTTTCCACCACATAGAGTTTGAATGATCACTCCAATCGCTTTGTGGATATTGATTGGCTTGGTATCCTTGCCTATAAGACGCACTAAATGTAGGGACATTTTGTATTGTGGTCCTTTCAGCAATCTGCGACAATTGAGAAGTAAGATTTGCCAATTGAGCTTGAATGCTAGCAACATCCATATCTTACTTCTCAAGCACCTAAAATCAAAGAAAAAGAACTAAAGCAAATATCAAAAGTAACATCAAACAAAGAAAATAAAACTAAGTTAGAAACTAAAACGAAAACAAACTAAACGAAAATAAAAGAACCAAGGGATTAGCAAAGTTGCTAATCCCCGGCAACGGCGCCAAAAATTTGATGCGAACTAAGTAAGCACACAAATTAAAACCCTCTTGTGACAATTGTAGTAAAGATGCAAGTAGGGATCGTTCTAGACCGGGGATTAGGAGGGATTACTAAATCACTTGGACACTGACTCAAAAACGTAAAACAAACGTTAAAAACACTAAACTAGACTCAAAGAATGCAAAATACTTATAAACACAAATTAAGACACTTTCTAACTAAATTAGACACTAAGGTAAAGGGGGATTGAGGTTTTGACGAAAATAAATTAAATGCACAAATTGTAATTTAAAGGCAGAATTTAAATATGAATGTGATGAAATATGGAATGAATGCTAGCTAGAAGGTTCTTCTCCACACATGCTACACTTGCATACAAAATGATTTTCAGTTGGTCTTTCGATAAATTATGAAACTCAACGCCCCAAATTAACCGTGAATTGCACTAATTAACCCTCAGTTTTTCCACAAGTTATTAAGTTGGATGATTGCATACGACAACCCAAAACATTCCCTACAAGTTCTCTACATGAATTGCATAATAGAGATACAAGCAAGAATCATTAAGTTCTATGAAAAACATAAGCATTGACGAAACATTCGTTACTATGAATTGCATGAAACTTATGCTAAGAATTCATTCAACGCGATCGTTTTCAAGCGACCTTCACTACTTGTGATTATAAGATTGTAACTATTAGGTGAAACTCCCTCATAATCTAGCATCATATTCATGCATGAAAACTAAGCGTGCACTCTCAATCAACATACATAAATAAGTTATCAATCAAATAGATGAACGAATTGAATCCACAACTTATGAAATTCCAACCAAAAGTAATCAATTCATATTGCAAGCATAAACATGGTTTCGAATCACCCCCTAGCTAACTAGGGGGATTTAGCCTCTCATGTTCACAACAAGAAAAATACAATTGAATTTAAACATAAAGAACAAAGGATTGATTACACCTAAAACGCCCAACGAATCCACTTGAATTTCTGCGCGATTTTAAGTCCTCTTCCTCCTTTCTTCTTGCTGCGGCTGTTTGAGAGAATATGGTGTGAAGTTACGGCTGGAATGAAATAAAGTGGCTGGAATGGAGGGCTATATGTTGCGGCTGCTAGAGGAGAATTGAATAATGGGATCTTAGGGTGATGGAATCTGCACGGCTGTGATGGAGAAAAGGTGTGGAATGGCTGCACAGTTTTGGGACCAAATATGCGGCTGCAAAGAATATTTTTTTGAAGTCTTGCGGCTGTTATGGAATGGTGTTGAATGTGTGACAGTTTTTTGTGGAAGTCACGGCTTGGGGAGTAAAGGGTTAATGAGGAATTAGGGTGAAAAAAAATGGGGAAGGCACGGATTAGAAAAATAAAATGGGAGATGTTGCTGCGGCTGTGATGATAAATGTGGCTGGAATGGTTTTGCACCGATTATGGAGTGAAAAATGGGAAAAGTGGCTGCTGCCTTTTGGAGAGAATTAGGTTGAGATTAAATGGGGGGGGCCACGGCAGATTTTGAATTAAGGGATGGTTGCGGCTGTTGGATGAAAGGCACGGCTGGAAGAATTATTAGGGTTGAATAATAAAATGGGAAGCCACGGCTTACTAAAGTAATTAGGTGTTTGTGGCTGCTTTGTTTTATTTATTTTTTTGCTGAAAAATATGAAAAGAAAAATAATAAGAGGTCCCTAAGGTGCGGCTAGGAAGGGAAATAGGGCTAGGGCCTTGGTTTTGTGTCTTAAAGTGCATACGAGGCCTATAAAGTGGCTAGAAAATATGGACGTTTAGAATTAGGAAAGGTTACCAAAACGGGAAACTTAGGGTCAACTTTCCTAAAATAGGAAGCCTTGTTTGAGTAGGATTCTTCGTTTTGGTAAGAATTCATCGTTGGCGTAGGAATTCGTCGTTTCTTCAAGTCTTCAACTCATTCATTCCTCTTTCGCTCCAAAAGACTTCAATTTGCATCTTCTTGCACACTTTGGCCTTATAATCTGAAAATACACAAAAGTGGCCTTAAACACTGAAATAGATAAGTAAACACAACATAAATGCACGAGAACAAGCTAATTAAGTCGCATGAATATGCTCCTATCACCATTGTATGAGAAGTTATTACCTAGTTTTGGCTATGTGCTTTAAATTGACGTTTTTATAGTTATTTCGCATATAGGTGAGACCCATCCTGAGGACGAGCGCAGTCACTCGAGGCAAGGGGGTTACAACCCTTCCACATACCAGTGAGTGGGCTTTTGATTTTCCGTATATACCTATATACTTATGGTTTTTCCCAGAAAATGAAATGGAATGTTTATATGTTTTAAATGTCATGCATAGTGTTTGCCTATTTATTTATGCATTAGTAGTTGCATATATGTATGTTTAGTGTTGCGGACGCATAGGTAAGTGCCAGGTAAGTTTATGGTTTATGATTGTGAATTAGTGGTTATGTGAGATGCATAGAGAACTCATAACCTGCACCCTCGGTGTTAGTGCTCCCGCCCAGAGTAGGGCACAGTCTTTCACATGATGTTCACCTCCCACACCACACGCTCATCTTGGATCCAAGTTAGGTGCACAGTCCTATTGTACAAACCACTATAGGTGGTTTCGACTCATAGGTGACTTGCGATTATTCGCCTAGTCTTCATGTGATCGTAGCACTTGAGCGTATTTATTTACACCCAGTCCTGTCGTCCGGACCACTTTAGGTGGTTCCGACTAGTGTGCAGATATAGTTAGTGAGTTGAGGATTGAAGCTCTAGATTCAGCCATACATGTCACGTTAGGTGACTCCGGCTGACATGTTACTTGCATTGATTGACATTACCTGGGTTACTTACAGTTTATGTGGAGGCATTCGACATGACATATTTCTGACATGTTTTCGATATATGTGTATATACTATTTTCTAGGAAACTATACAGGTTTTTACTTCGAGGGGTTAGAACTTTCAATAATGAATGATTTTGAAAAGCTTTGTTTTTGCCCACTCACACTTTCTGTTTTGCGCCCCTCCAGGTTCTAGTTAGAAGCAGCTTTGGTGGTTCACGAGGACTTGCCAGTGGTTCTGACAGAACATCACAAATGTAGGATCACCTTTGGGTGTTGTGTAATTAGTATTCATTCTTCTGGGCTGCACTTAGGTTTTTTGTGCTCTGATTATGTTTATCCCACTTAGTCTCACATTAGTGTGTTACCTTAACTAGTTTACTTAGTAGTTTGGTTCTTATTTATTCGTACTTTTATTATTATCTTTTGTTTCCCACTGTGCACATGGCTACGTCACCCTCACGTGACGGCCAACACGCCTTAATTCCGGTCGGGGTGTGTCAGAGTATCCATCAATTTGTCGCTTACAACCGACACCAGTTTTCAAAATATTTAAAAAAAAACTAAAATCTATGTCGCTCAGAACCGACGTAGGCTTTAAAATATTTAAAAACAAGAATTAGTGTCGCTTGGTGTCGCCTAGAAGCGACACCCATAATTTATGTCACTTAAAAGCGACGCCAGTATTTAAAAATTATTAAAATGTGTGTCGGTTATAAGCGACAATAAATTTTTACGTTAGTTTAAAAGTGACATAGACATTTTATGGTGCTTATAAGTGACAGTAAATCCGACGTCATGTTCAGTGGATGTCGCAAGTCTCTTGTTCGCCACTATATTATATTAAACCGACGCAACAACTGACACTATAAGGCCCTTTTGTAGTAGAGGGGCCCTGATTTACGATTTTATTTTACATGTATATAAAGCATATATATTTAAAGGCCGAATAACCAAATTAAGTTCTTAGTGTATGTGTTCTCTCGCTTCTTATCTTTATAGCTCCAACTGGGTTCGAATACATCTTTTTATGTTTTTTTTTATTTTTTATTTTTTGTATTTAAAAGCAAGGAGTTTTGAGTCCAAAAACATAGAGAGAGCAGATAGATACCTAGCCACCACACTATGCATCATTTTTATTTATTTTCTTTTGCGTAGTATCACTGTATACACAACCAAAAAAATAAATATAAAAGTAAATAGAGTAACTAAAATTTTAGATTTTATAAGCATCTGTCTAAAGCCTTAAACAGGGCTTCCAAACTCTGAGGTCGGCTTGTTTATAGTACTTGGTATTATTGTTTGGGTTTAATGAAAAATCTTTCTTCTGTCCCTCTCAACATTTGCATTTTGTATCGCGATGCACACGTGGGATCATGAAGAACGAATAAGGATAAGAATGACATTTTCTATGTCAATCTCTATACTAATACTTAAAGGTTTTGTGTATTGTGTATGGAATAAATCATATCGTACTTATTCTGCATACCAAAAGCAGAAAAAGAAGCCTTTAAATTTGATCAGAGAGATCACTAAGATCATTAAACCACAACGTAAAAGATCCCAACCCAGGTGGTTTTGCAGATCTAATACGTCTGCAGCTCCCATACTATTAATATAATTTTTCCTTTTCTTGCAGTTCGGCGTTCAAGCATAATCCATGATAATAATAATAATATGCCCTTCACTTCCTAAAATCTGACATTATATAAGCCCACCCAACACCCTTCTCCCTCTAATTTCCTTTGCACCGCCAAATCATTGGTTTTGAATTTCCGGCTTCAATTTCTTTTTCTTTTAGGGTTTCTTGGACCTTGGTACTGGACGTACGATCGTGGTGCTTTGTGTTTGTCAGTTTGTCACATCCCTTCTGAGTTTTGATTCTTGACGTGCTTTGGTTGGTGAACGTGAAATAGTCAGATTCCATTTATTATTAGCAACTGCTGGGTCTGCAGCTGGGTGTCCAGTGTAAAGGACGGACCTTCCCTAATAATAAGGACCCCAAATTAAACCCCATACTCCACTTTACCTTTCTGTCACTAAAACCCACCACCTATACGTATTTAGAGCTACACCATCACAAGGAGTTCCATCCAGTTAATATTGTCTTGACGAGTTCGATATCACCGCCATTGAAATGGGGAATTGTCAGGCGGCAGAGGCAGCGACGGTGGTGATTCAGCATCCGGGGAACAACAAGATCGAGAGGATTTACTGGTCTGTGGGCGCTCATGAGGTCATGACTTCCAACCCCGGCCACTACGTGGCTCTCGTCGTCAACTCTCCGACCATGAAGTCTGTGACTGGTGCTCCAGTGATCAAGCAGCTCAAGCTTCTCAGGCCTGACGACACTTTGCTCATTGGACAGGTTTATCGCTTCATCAGCTTCGAAGGTCATGTTTCTAGCTTCGTTTTTCAGTTTTTTAGAAACGAGTTTTAATCAATTAGCTTTTCTTTTGTTTATAGAGAATGTTTCAGTTAGATTATGCAGTACAAGTTCATGTTTTCAGACACATCAAAACAAATGAAGGTAGATTAACTAGGTTTACGTTTATATCCGATTCTCTGACAATATAAATGTTTTTCCAGCAAAGAAAATCACCGTATGACCATCCGCCAAAATTGTATGTGGATTTTTGGTTAAGATTTTAATTTTAATATTTCATATTTCTTTATATATTTAAACAGATGTGTTGAAGGAGTTTGCTGCTAAAAAATCTGTGAAGCTGGGGAAGTTGCTGAAGCATAGAGGTGAGCTTGGAGTGGAAATGAAGATGAAGGACTTGGCAGGTCAGAATTTGAAGTCCGTCAACAACAATTCCATCAAGGTAAATATAAACTTTAAAGACCTACATAATCAAACCATCCTTGCATCAATCATTGTTGAATCACATGAAATTATCAGGGTAATTTGGTCATTCAAAATTGATGTGATAATGATAGAAGGTCGGATATCAAGCACTTTGTAGACCTTGTGTTTTGTTCTTCGGTAGTACGGGATATGTATGTGCATGTGTGGGCATCTTCATTTTGTTTTTCACTTCAACTCGTTAGGGCATCTTTGCGATCCAAAAAGGGATACTTTCAAATTTCTGTACGGATTTTTAAAAATAGTAGTAAAAGAAAAGGTTAATCTGTGTGCAGAGGAGATATGGTGATTTTACTGTGTCCTACTGAAATTAATTAAATTATCGTCTGCAATTCGAAGAATCGGATCTTACTTTTAAATCCACAGATCTCGAGAATGTAGGTTTTTATGGTAACACGTTTATTTTTGTCAGATACATCACTCAGGATAAAATATATGTAAGAATCTTACCCCAGTCAAAAGTTTCCATTAGGAAAAGAAACATGTCGGAGTAGCATTTTATATTTAGGCTTAAATATCAAAATGTTCATTATATTATAATCATATGGTCAATTTAATCTTCATATTTTTGATTTGGTTAATTTAGTCTTCATGTTTATCTCTATTAGCCAATTAAGAACATTTCATTCAATCTCTTTTAAAAATTTATAAGAAAAATCATATAAGATATAATTACCATTTTTCTTTACATAAAAATGCAAATCAATAAAAAATAACATATATAAAAGATAAAACTTTCACTGATAAATTCAAGGATCATGTAAATAATTAACCTACTAATTAAATCAAGAATAAGTAAATAAAGAGATTAAGAACATATCAAAGGTGATATTCATTGAAAAATCGCAACGGAAAGTAATTAAGGAATTGCGGAAATAAGAGATTTTATTGTGGTTTAAAAAAGTTAATTTTCTTTTCTTGAAAGAAGCACATAGGATAAATGATCATTTTGTTTTACGAATAGGATAAAAGTGGTAGAGGATAGAGCTAATTTGTCATTTTTTGCATAAAATGTATTATTTATTACCTTTTGTCTACTAAATATACATTAAATAATAACCTCTATTGAATAGTGCTATTCACACAAAAGAATAGTATTATTCACACATCTATTTTTACCTCCAATATACCCCCTTATTAATTTTTTGTCATTGATCATCTTCAATTCATTCGATCTAACAGCCAAAAATTGAGAGAGGTGTGTGAGAAGTAAAATTGAGTGCATGGATAGCACTATCCTAACAGAAAACCTCCCTGTTTGACAAAAATAAAATAAAAAATAAAAAAAAAACTCGCTGGGCTCCAGCACACCTTAGCCTTGTGGGTGGCTACGTCGTTGCTAGAGTGTGGGCTATAAAACATATCAAAGCTACACATGTTTACATGAAAATGGTTTCTGCACATGTTTGCTTAAGGTTTATGTTCAAAGAAAATAATATTTGCACGTTCTTTTTTTTTTTATATGCATACTTACGTTTATTTCTCACATTCGTAGTGAATAAATTTCTTTTCTTTACATGCATACTTAAACTTATTTTTCACATTCGTAGTAAGAAATCTAGAAGAACATAAATATATAGAGATGTGCAGAAAAAGAAAAGAGCATGCAAAAATTATTTTTCTTGTTCAAAGTGTACAATAATTGGCATGGCTTATGTCATCGTTCCATAAGTCTTCCATTGTAATGGTTCATGGGATGCATTTATGCCTTTATTGAAGGACTGGCAGATTTATGATGACAGAGGAAAGGTTCAACTGATCACTTTATGATTTGCTAAATGATATACTTCTTGTCCAACAAATATTTGGTGGGGGTTGAGAATTCATTTTCCCCCTTACCAATATTAGCACTGATAGAATTGGTTATCAACTCCTAACCATATGATGATTAAGTTACGTTTTTCTTAGAAGAGCATGTTTAGTTAATGCATGACACTTAATCTGGTAAACAACTTCAGTTAGGTTTGCTTCAAACTTGCTTAATTAAATTTAGGGGTCTTTTGATTTAGAAAGATATTGATGCATGTTTTTTTAAATTACTTATTTATTTATCTCTTCAGATGGAGAGTGTGGGAAGCAACGGTGGCAGCACAAGCACTAACAACGGCAGAAGCTACAGAAGCGTGGGAAGAAATTATGGTGGTGGTGGTGGTGGACGTGGAGGTGGTGTGGGGCAGTGGAGGCCAGCCTTGCAGAGTATTGCAGAGGTTGGAACTTGAAATATTTTGCATGCAGCACAACTCTTCATTTCTCTCCCACCAATAAAAACAAGCAGAAGCAGCGACTCCTCCTTTCGCTTTTTCCAATATCTTCGTATATCTCTTCTCTTTTAGACTGATAGTTATTAGTTTCCACTATTCCACGTCCTTGCAAGCTATCCATGGCCTATAGGGTTTCCAGAGTTTAGGTGTCATGTATAACTCATTCAACTTGGACACGTATACCGCTCTTGCATATTTGTGTTAACCCTTTAGTTTGCTGTAATTAGGTGCAAACTATCTTGCCCAAAGTTGAACTTGATTCCATTTTATTAGACTAATCAACCTTCCTTTGTATTTATCAAACAATGAATGGGTAGCTTAGTATCAATGCTACGAATCTGTTTGATAATCTTTTCATTTTTTTGTAGTTTTTAGTTTTTATTTTTATGGTAGAGATTAGATGACAAATACATGAAAGAAATAAGGTATAAAAGAGTAGAAGAGTTAGAAGGATACAGAAGAAATCTATAAAGAAAGATGAATAAAAATAAAATTAAAAACTCAAAATCAAAATCTAGTAAGTTATTGTTTTCATTTCAAAATTTTCTTTATGGGTAAAAGCTAGGGAGACTAAATGTGTGGAATAAATTTTGTAAACTAAATGATATGGAAGTTGATGATTGAATTATTACTTAAGCGTTGATAAACGTGCTTATTTCTTATTGATGATACATCATTAGTTACATATTAAGTCTACAAATTTAGTCTACTAGCAGTTCTTTCTTTATATATGTTTTCTTTGTATTTCTTCCTGTCCTGTCACCACCCTTCTTAATACTTCCTCTTCTTCAAACACCTTCGCATGTCTCAAACACAAAAAAATGAAAACTAAAATAAAAAAAAAAATGATTATGAAAAGACTCATATATATTGGGAAGTATTATTGGCATTCTAAGAATCTCATTCTACACTCTTCGCAAGTGTATTTTTCTTTTCAAATATAGAAAGTTTGGAGTGTAGAATGAAGTTTTTAGAGTGCCAATAACAATTCATATATACTAATGTTGCTTAAAAGTAATTTTCTTGTCGTCCAAATTCTCAATGTAATCACATAAGCATTTATCTAGTAACGTAAATTAAACACAAAAGTTTATATATGCCCGAGAATTAAAATGTTTACAGTAGTTGTGGTCCTGATCTTAAAAGATAATAATTAAATGAATTTGATGGATTTAATAGGTTGCTTGAGTTTCTTAATAAAGTGTGTATATTAAGCAAGTATTAAAAACTTGCTTCAAAGAGATGCATTGACATTTACTTCTGCAGCATATACTGCTACATGCTTACTGTGGCTGAGGCCATATGCTGTAGAGCTTTAATTCTCCATTAATATGGCATTCGGTCCAATAATCCTGGCCACTGTCTCATACCAGAATTTCCCACAAATGCATCTAGTCATTTCACTCATTTTCTTACTAGTTACACACGGCAAACCTAATACATTGGTATTGAGGGTAGACCCTAATGGAGAAAGTTCTACTACACTCCGGTATATGTTAGGATAGGAAATGGATGGAATGAGTGTTAAATGTGCGACCAAGAGTCCAGCAGTTAAGAATGGTCTTGTGGCCTCAAATATCGGTGTATGGTACACACCAATGTATACCAAAATTAAATTTCTGTAAAGCCATTCAAGTGGGGCAATTAGATAAAATTTAAAGTCTTGATAAAAGAAAACATACTTCTTTACTATGTTTGTGGTTAAATTAGTCGAATCTACCTTTACACTGCACAGTAAGGTTTTTTTAGTGCTCGGTCCACTAACTTTCTCTTTCAAAAATGTTGAATTAACATGCATGTTCATGTTTCTTGATTGAATAATTGTCCTCATCTCCTGTTGTTGATAAGTACCCATCTTTAATCAAAATTCTCGCTTGGTGCTTTGCTTTGTCTGGGTGTTGAGGAGGCAATAGAAAGCTAGCAAGCACTAAAAAGCAATATAAAATTATGTCAAATTACATTTTTGTTCTTTAAACTTAGATTATAACACGTGGAAGTCGCATGAAAGGATAAATGTGAAAGTTTAGGCCTATGACACAAACTGTATAGGAAGCATATGCCTATTGAACTTATCAATCGTTCCTTACGTACCTGACTTGAAATGAGAATGAATTATAGTAAAAAGGAGTTGAAGTAGGAATGATTCAGTGAGACGGCAAAATTGGATACTGTTATTGAAGTGGTTATTAACCATCTATATTTGACAGGAAAAAACTATATGTAATCATAATGAAAATGAAATTGAGTTCAACGAAACTATTTACTAATTGTCAGGAATCAAAATCAAAATTGTTGTGATAATTGAAAGAATAATTGAATGCCCACATGGGAATAGCAGTGAATGGTAGGGAGTTTATTGTGTGGTACTTTTTCAAAAGAGAAAAATCACGGATATTGTTGGATTTGTCATGGGTGTGACTTTCCATTCACTATAAACCAACGAATGTGGCTCTATTAATAAATCACTCCATGGATGATCAACACAGCAACTAAAAGAGAAAATTACTGAAAGCAATAATATCAGTATCCCTCTCTTCCTCATTTTATCTGCAATTCTTTTGTGTTATAGCTACGGAAAAAAACAGTGTGATATTTCGCACTCGCTTCGTTCCTATCTTTAGCAAAGGTTATCTCTCTAACTTTTGTCTATTTATTACACGTTATCAGCACGACTCTTTAACCCTAAACAGTTCACATCGGCGAAAAATGTTTCCTCCAAGGATTTTACTGTTCTTTTTCCTCCTTTGCCTCATCTGCTAGATGTACCCTCGTGAAGAACTGCTAGCACGATGTCTGCTTCTACTTGTCAATATAACAATTACTCATATCTTTGATTTCTTGTTTGGTGTAGCTCCTGATTACTAACCTAATGTTTATTTATTTTTGCTGCGATCAAAGATGGTGCGGTATCATTGCCCATCTTGGACTGCAGATTTAATTTTACTGCAATTTTAGGTAATGCGGTATAATCGCCCACCTTGCTCTGCATATTTAAATTTTCCTGCTATATTGTTTCAATAAGAGTGGTGTGGTACAATCGCCCTCCTCATTAATCATGTAAATCTTGAGTTTGAAGTTTCGAGTGCTTATCATTTTGGTCTGAAGATCAAAATGAAAAATTTGTACGAACTAGAAGTTCTAACACTATACTCCTCCAGAATGCATATTATTGCAAGCTCTTACATATCTCATTTTTCTTTCAGAAAAAAAAAATGCGAACTTGGCAAAGCTTGATTTTGTTGCCCTAGATATTACTGGGAAGAATTACCTTACCTGGGTAGTGGATGCCAAGATCCATCTGGAGGTAGGGAATCTTAGAGAAACCATCAAGGATGAAAATAATGCATCCTTTTAAGATTGAGTGAAGGCCATGATCTTTATCCATCGCCAACTTGATGAAGGACTGAAAAGCGAGTACCTAATGGTTGAAGATCCATTAGCCCTCTGGAAGGCACTGAGAAACAGATACAGTCACCAGAAAATGGTGATTCTTCCAAGGGCTTGTTATGAGTAAACTCACCTAAGGATCCAGAATTTCAAGACGGTAGCCAAGTACAATAATGCAATGTTCAGAATCAACTCCCAGATGAAGCTCTGTGGGGAAACCATCACTAAGGAAGATATGCTTGAAAAGACTTTCAACACATTTCATTCCTCCAACGTGTTCATGCAACAACAGTATAGAAAACAAGGCATTATTGAGTACAACCAGCTGATATCTGTGCTCCTTGTAGCTGAACAAAACAATGAGTTTCTGATGAAGAATCATCAGTCCCAACCTACTGGATCGACACCATTCCCAGAAATGAATGCTATTTCCCTCAAAGTGAACACCACATCTTCTCGTGGTAATAATTACAAACGAGGATGTGGCCACAAACGAAGTTAGTGGAATAGGAAAGGCAAAAACTATGGTGTCCAGTTTCATAACTAGGTTCCAAGGCATAATTTAGGCCTGAGCTTCAAGAATGCAAATCGCCAGAAAGGCAAAACTCATATGAATAACACTCCTAGAAATCCTGAAGAAGTTTGCCATAGGTGTGGTGGTAATGGACACTGGGCGCGTACCTGTCATACCCCAAAACATCTGGTGGATCTGTATCAAGCCTCCCTCAAGGAAAAAGGTGTCGAAACCAATTTTATCGACCAGGCTAAACCGATGGATATACATGATCCAATGTTCGATTTACCAGGGCAATTGAACCCAACTCACCTAGATGTCTCAGACTTCATTGTGGAAAGAGGGAATGAAGTAAATCTATCCGATTGAATCACTTTTGTTTGATGTACTCTTATTATTCTGACCTTGTAGTTTAAAGCTCGCATTTCAATTCAATAAAAGTGGCATTTCAATTTCCTTTTATTAGGAATAAACTGTTTTTAACTGTGATTTCTTTACTCAGAAAGCATGGATAAAAACTATGGTTATTATCAAAACAAGAGCAATGACGGAGATATTTGTCTTGCAGACAGGGTAACCATGCATACAATACTTCGAGATCGAAAATATTTCTCAAGCTTGATGTTTACAAAAGTAAAGGTAACAAAAACATCAGGCCAATCATATATAATTAAAGGCTCAGGAAAAGCCCAGATCATGTTACTAAATGGAACAATATTGTCCATACAAAATGTGTTATACACTACTCGATCTACTCGAAATTTGTTGAGTTTTAAAGACATACATTTAAATGGATACCACATTGAAACGAAAAGTGCAAAAAAATGTGGAATATCTATGCATTACCTCCAACGACACCCAGAAGCGTATATTGGAGAAGTTGCGTGGTTTATCGAGTGGATTGTATTATACATACATAAAGACAATTGAAAAACATACTGTCATGAACCAGAAGTTCATTGATTTAAAAATTTATATGTTTTGGCATGACTGTCTGGATCATCCAGGATCCACCATGATGTGTAAGATCATTACCAACTCTTTATATGACTTAGTTAGTTTAATTCCTTGCATTTAGTGAGTTAGTTTCTATTTATTATAGTGATTTAAGCTATTTTCATATGTTTGTAGGTCCAATTGACTAAAGTGGCAAGAAAAGGCAATTTGGAGCATTTTGGAGCAGTTTTGGGCTTGGAATGGATAACACATGCTTAAAGCAAGGTGGATGGACGAATTAAAGTTCAAGAAAGGCTAAGAATCTGCTAAAGAGATAGAAAAAAGCAATTCAAGACTTGGAAGAAAAGGAATCAACTATAAAGAAGGAAACATGAGTCAAACTTCCTTATTTTGACTTAGTCAATCTTAATATTTTCCTACTTATGTTCCAGTTGCAAAGGGGGTTCCTAATTAATTTAGGACACTTAAATATAAGTTCTAGAAGCCCTAAT